CCCCTCCCTCCCTCCCTCCCTCCCTCCCTCCCTCCCTCCCTCCCTCCCTCCCTCCCTCCCTCCCTCCCTCCCTCCCTCCCTCCCTCCCTCCCTCCCCTCCCTCCCTCCCTCCTCCCTCCTCGCTCAACTTCCCATCCCTCCTGTCGATCTCTCTCTCGCTCTCTTTTCCTCTTTGATCACTTCCTCTTGACCTGAATGTTGTAGTCTGCCAGAGTTCGACCGTCTTCGAGCTGCTTGCCTGCATCGCCATGAACCCCAAGCAGAAGGCAGCAAGGAACGGGAGGGAAGGCTGGGGGGAGCATACCAGCAAAGATGAGACGCTGCTGATCAGGAGGGATCCCCTCCTTGTCCTGAATCTTCGACTTCACCATGTCAATGGTGTCTGAAGATTCAACTTCCAACGTGATCGTCTTGCCAGTCAGCTGCAGGGTCGAGCACGAGTCAGTCAAAGCATGAGTCATGGAGACGAACCGTCTTGACGAAGATCTGCATCTTGATGAAGCTGTCGAACATAGACGGGAATCAGATGAGATCGATATTGAGGTGAGCGGTGAGGAGTTATGGACGTTATCATGCTCTTGTCAGTGGACCGGTGCCCTCGAAGCTGATCATGGAATGATCGGCCATGCATGAAATCATCTTCCTTTGGATCATTCGTCTTCTTTTTTTCTCATCCTCGCGTCTCCTCGCTCCCCCTTGCTTTTCCACCTCCTCTCTTTCCACCATTTCACCCAAAAAGTATCCACACACTTCCTTCTTCCATATCTCTCTGTACTCTTTCCTGCTTTGGAAAATCCTCTACCCCGCATACGGTTGTTCTTCCCTCCTCGTAACTTCCCTTGCCGCATCCAATCTCATCTCTCCCATGCTTACCCTCCTCTCCTCCCTCCCTCTCTTCCCTCTCCTCCGCCGCCCCAGCCGCCATTTTCGCTTGATTCTCATGTAGAGCCTGTAGTTCCCGCCATCTCATATAACCCCATGGAAATTACTAGGTGGCGTACTGGATGCACCCCTGGTTGACTATGTGAAAGTACCGGTACAGGCAGCACCCTACCCCCCTCGTTCCTACGATGCCCCTTGGGTCCAGTCGCAATAAAATACTCGCTGCAACCCATCACATTATATATCTTCTATATATATTCCATTTTATTTCTGCTTTTGCAATAAATCTTGTAGCCTTTCAATAAATTCACTACAGTTTACTGTTCGAATCAATTGAGATGAGTCTCCTCATTCCATCAAGGGGACGCTTCAAACTCTCAGGCACGCCGCTGCGACGGGGGGGTGGGGGCTGTGGGGTAGGAGGGGTTCTGGCAGGGCCGGACTCCGCCCGGCGAGGTACTGAGGCTCCCAGCACGGTGAGGGCCGGGGCCCCGGCCCGGGCCGGGAGTACGGTCGTCGGCCCTGAGTCCGGCGTCGGATCGCCGATCGGACGGTCACTGACTCTCAGCACTGCCTGCCCGGTGCCGGCCAGCCCTTTACTCAAAGTTAAGTTAAAAACTCAGTACGAGGACAATCAGCCTGGCTTTACTCAAAGTTAAGTTAAAATCAGCCTTTACGAGGACAATCAGCCTCGCTTTACTCAAAGTTAAGTTAAAATCAGTACGAGGACAATCAGATCGGCGGGTGTCCGGACGGTCAAGCCTCAGGAGAGGCGAGGAGGCCCTTGACCCTCCTCGTCTCTCCTGATTGTCCTCGTACTGATTTTTAACTTAACTTTGAGTAAAGTACCCGGACGGTCGTAACTTCAAGACATCAACTGTCAAGTTACGACCTTCCGAGTCACAGGCGGATGAGCCTCACAGTGAGGGGCCCGGCGGGGGCAGGGGGGGAGGGTCCAGACTCTGTCGATTTTTCCTTTGAGCCAATTGAAGGATCCTCGAGGTGCTTGAGGGTTAAACTGTGACAAGTTACTACGCCGGTCAATATCCCATTCGCGATCCCGAGTGGTAAACTTGAGGAGCCGCTTCTGCTACTCCCCCTCCCTCCTTCTCTCCCTCCCTCCCTCCCTCCCTCCCTCTCTCCCTCCCTCCCGCAGCTAGGCAGTGAGGTTGGCGGAGCTGATTTTGGATTCAGGGAGACCCTGACGACGACTGATACTCCGTCTCGTGCCTAAACCGGTCCACCTCCCGCCTGGTCTATCGGCATGACTCTCGCCAAAATGTTCCTACTCATCGATATCATGAGGGCTCCAATCTACCAGGGTTACTGACTTGTGACATCTATAGGGGGCCTCAACAGAAAATTGTTTGAATAACCCGGGTGTCACCC